AATGCTACCATTGGTAGCATTAATACAAAAATATTCAACTCTTATCAAGAAATAGATTTATTGGGCTGCAATTTGAAAAAAAATTGTAGACCTATAAATTCCCACTGTCATCCATTCATTTATCTGTATGTACTGTACATCTGTCTGTCTTTCTTTAATCTTGAGAACAAAGTTAGATAGATGAAAGACGAGACCAGATATGGAAAGCGTAGGGGCAGGAGGCCTTGATTAACTATATATGAACTTCCAATGCAAACCGGAAGTGATGTTATTTTAATTAAAAATATTTTATTCTGAAAGGTGAATAGATGACAAGCACGTCTCTATTGTTAATTACCATTTACATATGTACTTGTGAAATTTTTGATAGTTACCTTCTTTCAAAACTAATATTCAATAAGACTTTAATGCTTATATACAGGGGGGTGTAAAAGTAGGTATACAGATGTTTGGTGTTCATTATTATTATTATTATTTTAATCTTTTATTTATTTATTCATATTTTTACAAGCAGTGTCACATGGACAAAAGAGTTGCCACCCCTAAATAACAATTAGACAACAATATCTATTATTTTTCATATTCCTTATTTGTGGTTTAATTTATGCATAAAAATAAATGCTTTTTCTTTTATGTTTTTCCCATAACAACAACTGTATATTGCTTTTGCACCCTCTTGTATTTAATTTACACTTACAGTTACAATTCAAATAAAAAAAAATATTGTGATAAAGAATTCCATAACAGTAATCAAACTTACACAATACATTTTCAATATTATTTTTTTATTGTAGAAATCTTCAGGAAGTTGTTATATATATATATAAATTGTAGTAGTAGTGAAGAAGTGGAATGTGTTTCCTGTAGAGTAAAGAAGATAATTGCAATCAAAATATCCTATTGTTGAGAAAGTACAATTATAGAATTATTGTTTTTTAGCTTTGATTATCTTGTTAGTTTTAACAGATATTGACTTTATTCTAGCATCATTACTCTTGTTTTGTTGTGTACATCTTACCTATTGATCTCAGATGATGATGTAATATTGATTTTAAAGTTAGAAAAATTATCTGTTACACTTTTTTTGTGTGTGAGATAACTCTATAACTGTGAAAAATGAATTTCCAATTCTTTTTTGCAATAAAAAGCATATCATTGAGTGCTTGGAATCAATATGAACTAAATTCAATTAAGTTAAAAAACATTGGATAATTTGAATAACAACTTTATTATATAAAATATTCAGATTTTAAAGTTGTGAATTAATTTTGTGATTTTGACAGACCATTCTTAATTTTAACAATAATTTGGAATCTAAACAGACTTTTTGGGCATTTTGTAGATTATTTTATTTATGGCCAATCCAAACATTTGGTTTGGGTTTTCTACTTTCTCAAAAGGGCCTTTGTTCTCTTTCAAATTTATTATGACATGTTTCTCACCAGAAGATTTTGATAAAAGTGTTGTCTGGTTGCCATTTATGCTAGTTCATTTAGTGTTATCCAGAATGCACCATGAGGAGGTGAACTAACTTTGATTGTTATCTCTGTTACCCCACAAAAGAAATTAAGTACATTTGAAAATGTTTTCCCCTTTCTCATCAGACACATCTTTGTAGATGAAGTACTGAACAAAGCTAAATATTCATCCATGGCTTTAAATTTGGAGAATCAAATTCATCTGAAAAATAATTAATTAATTACATTTACCCAAGGATTCCAGACTAATATTAATCTCACATTTTCTATATTTAACATGGAAGACAATATTTCAATACATCATACACAATTTGCATTTGAAAACATTCAGCACTCAGAAAAATATCTCAGAATAGTTCTTATGGTTATCCTCATACAATAAATTAGCTAAAAGGAGTATATTATTAAATTTATATACATATTTGATATAAAAATAGAAGCAATAAAACATTTTTTTTAATATAAAACATTAAAAATACCCAATAAATCGAAATAAAAGGTTAAAAATAGCAATGGAATCGGCATTTATTTTTAATCTTTTTAAAATTTGAAATATTTTTTTAAAGTTATATTTAAAAAACACTTGCAAAAAGAGCTTTTTTCCTTTTCTTCCTATGCCAATTTTGAGTTGAGTCAATTAAAATTTAGGCCCACCAGTGGCCAAACGGTTCCATTCCTTGAACACTGGGAGTTCAGTCGTGGGTTCGTGCCTTGCCCAGATGGGCTAGCCACGTGGAGTATTCTGGGTTTCTCCCTATCTGTAATGCCTGAATAGGGGCCAGCTATCCTTTAAAATACCTACCAGAAGGCATCCCTTGTAGGCAGATTGCCCAAGTGTTGTGTTGCCATAACTTAATAAAACAAACAAACAATTAAAATCTGCAACACAAAAAATTAACAGAAAAATGCTTTTATTGTTACCTCTGAATTTTTCACTTCCAGATGCATTTTGCATAGATAACACAGCCTAGGCCTCTTCAGTGGACAATAAGGAGGGAAAACAGTCACCACAGTTATAACACATTGATTTTTCATTGAATGTTCATACAATCATCTAGTCACACAAAGACTGTCCATTTATGTTTAATACAATTCCATCCCAATGTGCATCTACCATCATTCCTTTATTTAAATTAATATTATCATCAGACTTTATTATTGAATAATGTTCTTTAATTCTTTGTTTTGTAATAATATTTTTTTAATACAATATTCTTATATTATTTTTGCCATTTACTTTGTTTACAGTGCTGATGCCAAGGTGAATTTTTATCTCGTAGTCAAATTGCTTCTTTGTGTTCTGTCAGTCTTTTTCCTAATGGGTGTTTCATTTTTAATATTATAGATGAAATATTATTTTCTTTATAGAATATTCTTACATTATTTTTATCTATTAAACATTTACTTTGTTTACAGTGCTGATACCAAGGTAAATTTTTATCTTTTAGCCAAATTGCTGCTCCGTGTTCTGGCCAGTCTTTTATCTAATGGACACTTTGTTTTGCCGATGTAATATTTTGGTTGATCAAATGAACATGTTATCTTGTATACTATGCCTGATGTCTTCAATTTTTCTGTCTGTTTCCAATGTTTAATCATTAATTGTGATAACCTGGTTTGTTTTTGGGAGGGCACAAGCACAATTGTTGATTTTATTAAATTCACGTTTATATTTTTCGAAAAAACCTTTAATATACAGAAAAGAAATATATTGGTTATCATCATTTTTATTTCTAACATTATACCTATTATTCATGTATTTATCATACCAGTTCTTTGGCAATTTTTCAGGGTATCCATTTAGTAGATATTTCCTAAATAATTGTTCCTTTTCTTTTTCAAATATCCTCTTTACAGGTGGTTTTTGTGATTATTTTTCTTAATTCCATTCAAAACACATTCATTCTTATTGTCCAACAGCTACAAAAGAAAAAGTTAATGGTTCTCTCTACATTATTTGCTTTTTCAAACTTACAGAATTGAAGACCTTCATATGTTCTTTTAATAGTAATATTTAAGTAATTGATTTCTTTATTGTCTTCACATATGTCTTCACAATATGTCATAAACATACCACATATCTATCGAAGAAAACTATATCTTCTAAACTGTTCTTTTCCCAATCAATATCTATCATACATGGCATATTATTAATATATGATAGTAAGGTTGTTACAGCAGAAAAAATTGTGCAGCATGCCAACAAAATTGATCAGAATATACAATTCACATACAAATGTGAAGATAATAAAGAAATAAATTACTTAGATATTACTATTAGATATTACAAAAGTCTTCAATTTCATAAGTTCATAAAAACATTAAACAGAGTAAATGTTTAATAGATAAAAATAATGTAAGAATATTGTATAAAGCAGGGCTTCTTAAACTATGGGTCGCAACCCCATTTGGGGTTGCTTAGCAAAATCTTGGGGTCAAGAGATTNTAGAGCATTTTTAATGTGTCAGTGTTACATTTGTTCAGTATAATCTATTTTTACATAATTAAATTAAAGAGAAATGGAAACATTTTTCTTGTATTTCATTCAATGCTAGTTTTTTAGAAATTGGCTCTAATCTCCATTATATCATTATGCTAAATAGACAGCAAAACTGAGGATGTCTCTAATATAAAATCAAGTTAGTCTCTATCAATCAACACCATTAAATTAAAAGAATAAAATAGTATTTTCTATTAAATTTCTTAATGTAAATTGATAGATAGCATGACATCTCAAAATGTAAGATTTATGGAACTTATTATGATGGAAGGCTAAAACAAAATTTTTCTAATAAATGAATTATATAAATAATTCTGTTTTAAGTCAAATATTTAAGAAAGTCTTGGAAAATCTTTTAAAAATGTAGCTAATTGCATTTGTAATATATTGATTCTTTAAATACTTTTTAAATAAAAATTTTAATAGTCTTGTAATTGAGATGCTAACAATATTACACAAAGACAGGCCGATAAACAATTTAAAACATTTATTCTCTGAAGCTTTGCTTCATTAACATTCTCTCTTTCTCTCTCTGCTTTTTTTAAAATTGTTTGCTGTGCATTCTCGTCATACTTTGTACTTTAATTATATATTTTAATTTGATTAATATACTTACATAATAGTAACTGACCACTTAATTTCATTAATTTGTACATTAGGACATCTTATCGTGTAATTAAACAAATTTTATTACAAATTTATCACATAACGAAGGTTATATTGTTAATATTCATACATTTTGTTATATTCTTAAGATCTACAATTATCTCCTGATTAAATTGATGTAAATATATTATGTTAGCATATTTAACATTGACAGAAAATGTAAGAATTTAATGAAAGATCATCATCATATATATCAAAGAAAAACTGAAGAAATAAACTTAACATTGTTTACTTTCTTAATAATTTAATTTCTCTCTATGCACAATCTAGAATACGGAAAATATTTAATTATTATTTATATATAATACAGAAAAAATCAAATAAATATTCTTTTACCCTTTTTTTTCTCCTTTCAGCTAGTGTGGCGTTTTTGGGAGACAGCCAACCTCCTCGAAGGAAAGCTTTGGCAGTTTATCCAATATTTCTGTTTTACTTAATAGTAACGTGGTTGATTGTTCTTAACGGATAACTTTCAAGAAGAATACAGAAGATTTTATCGTCATTTATTCTAGTCATCAAAATTTTTTAATTCCGTTTTTGTTACTCTTATCGATAATGTTTACCTAGAAACATGTTATGAACTAAGTGAATATTCATTATACAGATTTAATATGGAAATATGGTATGTACAGTGAAAACTACTTTAATTTAACTACTAATATATAAAATTCTGGGTTTTGTTAATTAAAAAAAAAAAAATGTATCTTCTTCCTTTCATTCGGGGCCAAACTTCGTAGAAAAATGTACACAGTTGTTGGAAATAAAATATTTTGTAATTGTAGGTTTTATATAGGTTTTGGTATTTTTAATAATATACTAAACAATTTATAATTAAAAATTATCTTCTTCTTAGATTAATCTATTTCATTTTTTTCATTATGATAATTATATAAATATAACAAGTTAAATGCTTCTAACAAATATTTTTAGGATTATAAATTATCTTTGCATGGCAGCTGTAAATTAGTTATAAATTATCTGTAGGTCAAGAGGGAATTTGTTAAGAATTCTGTATATATTATTCCTGAAGTGTAAACAGGGCTATTTTTCATCTGGTATGCAATACTGGCAAGTAGTATAAAAAGTATTGATAGCTGGTGTGTATACCAGCAATTTTTCAGTAAGAAAAATTCTATATGTTCAGGTGAGAAATGTGGTAATGGGTGGGGTGGGGACTTCTCTTTTGTCAGAGGTTATCTTTTCACAAATGGACAATACCATCTGGTAATTGTCTGTCCCTATTATATTCTTGTTAGGAAATGCATTATGGAGAAGCATTAATGATGATACATTAATTGATAATGATACACTGAAGGAAAAGGTAAATGTGTGGTTACTTAAAAGGGCACCATTGAGCAATCTACACTAAATCCAAAACATGTGCAGATGGAGATAAAGCATTTTAAAAATATTTTTGCATAAATGTGTACATTTAGAAAGAAGGAATAAATAAATACAGTAGTATTAAGAACTGTTATTATTGTTGCTACATTTTTCATAAAACAAGTTTATTTTTTTTTCACCAAACATGTGTACTGGGAATATTTTTTCCCCAGGAAAATAAAACATTGGGTGTAAGTATATAAATTCAACACGGATTTTATTTAGAATAATAAAAAGTTTAGAAAATATGATTGAAGTTTTTAAAATAGAAGAAACACTAAAAATGGTTAAAAAGTGTCTTTCCACACCTCAGGAACATGAAGGTTGACTCTGCCAGAATACTTATCTTGAGATTCTCAAGATGTAATATATAGAAGAATAAAATTCAACATCACAGTAATTATTTGGCTGTTGTTCTATGAAGATTATCTTTGGCAAAATATCACTTCAGTATGTTTTTCAATATGTTAAAACTGATATACAAAGAGCCTGAGAGAAGTAACATGTTCTGGCCAGTCTCATAAAGTGGGTCCTCCACTCCTCTCTGAAAACCATAAAAATATATGAATGAAATTAGTAAAACAAATAAAAGAAGATTTTTCAATGTTTACCAAAGACTTAAAAATATGTGATACAAAAATTAAATATGAGAAACTAGAAGTTTGGGAACCTTTTTTCAGTTAGGGCTTATGCCAAATGAACATTTCTGCTGGATCTAAACATACATATATTTAAAAATGTGGAAAAAATTAGATCTATCGGTACTAAAAATACTATTTATATTATTAATTTCTCAGTAAAATGTTTCTAAACAATTTAAAGGAATCCAGAAAATTGTTCTTAAGACAGGAGGGAAAATATTTTTTCCTTCCTGTCTTAATTAACTTATTTTATTAAATTAAATTAGAAGATTACTATCCTCTAAACTTTAACATATACTAACAATTATAAATCTTTGTTATAGCTGCAAGTCCAACAGACACGGATTTATAATATCTACCTGATTAAATAGCTATTACTTGTGTACACAAATTATTATTCAATCAATTATAATTGGTGCATTCAGTTGATATAATATATTGAAAATTTTATCAGAACCAATTAGAAATATATTATATCGATTCTTAAAATGCTTTTGTTTAAGAATTTTAGAAGATATAAGTAATATAAATTGTATGTTATTGTATGTAATTTTAAACCACTCATTGTATAACTGATATAGCATGTTTTATTTATAATTTTGTTGATAGAATTATGCCTGGAAAAGTTTTAGCAAAAACAATATTGACTAAATAGTGTGACAGTTAAAAAAACACACACAGAATTTTATAAGATACATGAAGTTTGGATGCATGGAAGACTAAAAAAAGAATATTTATCATACAAAAAATATTCTTATTTTAGTTTGATAGCATTTTATTTTATTTGAATTTTTATAACTACTTATTAGAGGGGAATTTCTTAAAGTTTAGAAACTCTCATCTTTGATATTTAAAAGAAAAATAAATAATTCATTTTTTCCCGAAATGCAAGTGACTGTATAACGAGTTAGTTAAGTAACACGGATTTTTCCCCTCCATATCTCTTTAAAATGGTCTTCGTGTAATATAAGTAAGGAAAAAAAACTCTTATAAGCGAACATGTGAAGTGAATTCAATGAATCTTTTTATTTATTTATTTTTTTATAGAACTATCAATTAACGGAAGTTTTCGCTAATTGGTTTTCGTTAAATGATCAACTAACAAGTTCACTTTAATTAACCGATAAAAATACTTAATTTTTTGTAAATGCGTATACAGTATTAAGAAATATTTCTGAAAAATTTAATGATGCAAAGTTTGAATGAATTCGAGAAAAATCACATTTTATGTAATTTAAAAAATAAAAATGTGAAATCTCAATGGATCTACAGTATTAAGAAATATTTCTGAAAAATTTAATGATGCAAAGTTTGAATGAATTCGAGAAAAATAATATTTTATGTAATTTAAAAAATCATTTATAATGATGCAGCCAATTAGATAAAACTTACTAAACACATGTTGCTCCTGTTCAACATCTAGCGTTTTTTCATGTTTTCTTCGTATCTAACACTTAAATGGAATCTAATTTCTTATAGTAATACCTAAATGGGGGCCAATAATCCGAGAGGNATGTAATTAGATTATTGATTTATTAAGTAATTTTTAATAAATTAATCTATTATATTGACAATATATTAAATACATTGTGATATAACAAGTAGAAAAAAACTCGATTATTGTTTAAATTTAAATCACGACCACAGTGGCTTAGCGTCATTTTTCGTGAGGGTGAGGATATAGAGGACCAAGAAATAGGAATGAGAAACACTTCCATTTGTAGATCGCAGATTATGGACAGATAATATTAATAAGAGTAACAGATCAATAATCAATACACACTACAATCAGGGTGAAGATACAGCTTCAATATCCTCAATGGCGTTTTGTCATTGCTTGACCACATTCCTTCCAAAGAACAATTAGTGATAGGATGCAAACTATACAATGCTCCATGAGATACACGATTAAATCTTTGTCATAATTTAATACTCATTTTACTAAATTGTATGGAGTTTTGAAACATGCTTATTGCGATAAATTCGCGATAAGCGTATTTCAAGTAACTTAAGTTTGGAAAAAAAGTAATAGCTTTAATGAACTGTTTCTTTAATAAATTACTTAGCCATTGTTCTCATTCTTCTATTTGACGAATAGTTAGGTTTTTAATTTGTCAAATTTCACCCACACGAAATTTTTAAGGAGTAAAAAGAATTCCAAGAAAGAGTGAACTTAAAAAGAAGTGTTGTAAAATTTTAATTGTCGAAAGGATTATCAGACTTATCGGATTAAATTGTGTTATAAATTATCGTCCAAGAAATTTAATTTTTTTTTTTAAGTTATAAACAAATTAACATTGTACAAAATAGGAATTTAATCAAATTCGTGGAATTTCCATACGTTTTCAAGACAGTTTTTTATAGAATTTTATATAGAATTCTTGCAAGAATTGTAATGTTTATGAGAGTGAATTTTTCATAATTGCATTATCATGCAAAAAATTAATTCTCAGATAGAAAATAACTCAGTATTCTCTAGCAAGTAGATTAAATGAAATTTATAGCGTTAAATATTTAATTTTGATAACGAAGCTGTAACAAAGAATACCGAACGATTATATTTACATCCAGTATTATCTAACATTCATTATTTAAATTATACAATAGAAGCAAAAAGATTGATATTTCTATTAAGAATCTACTTGGACTGAATATGATTTATCATAACACCAGAAAATTAACGACCCATAAATTTATTGAATATTCTATGAAAACTATTCTCTATTATCCATTTAATTTAATGGACTGAAACATTTAATATACATTTAAATTACTTTTATTCTGTGAAGGGAACTAGTTCCATTTTATATTGTAGGACTATTAAGCAATTAACATGAAGTAAACTCCTCTGTACTTGAAAAATTTTCATTGTTTTGCTGAATAAAATATCTACAAGACTGCTTTGACTAATAATAAATATATTTTTAAAATGAAATCAGTTCGAAATTAGTAAATTAATTATGAAGAGTAATTGTGTTGGAGAATCTCTTCGCTAATTTGTTACAGGTCATGTATACGCTTCACATGGTACAATAATAATATACAGATAGCATGAATCATTAACTCGAACAATGATACTATTTTCTATCATCTATCAAATTTGGATAGCGTAGATATTGCCAAGCATTTTTCTGAAAGCAATTAATTGTTAGCTATGAGAGACGTCTTTTAATTGAGGCATCATCTCATAAAAATGTGCTATAATTCAAAATAAATAATTAAATTGAATACATGAAAATGTATAAGATATTTTTGCATATAAGACTTAAAATATGCGAAAGTAAAGTATAGAAAAATTTATGAATTTTACAGTGAAAAAAAACACGTTTCACTCTTGTTATTTGATGCTTGAAAGGAAATTAATATCAAAACATTGGATGTTGGTTTATTTTATTGATTATTTCTCTCGTTGTTAATTTATGAAAGATACGTATTGTCTTATATTTAGTAACTTTTGAAACAGAAATTTGCATAAAATTTGTTTCAAAAGCTATTGAATTAATTTGCATAAAACTCCCAAATTATAAATAAACCTTTTGTGGAATTTTGTATTTTTGAATATGATGTTTGCCCGCTGTAGAAATTAACGGAGAATCATTTACAAGGTACCAAGGACTATCATAAAGTGGCACTCCCGGTGGCAGAAATTAGAACTGATGCTTATTATATTTTAGATGGCTTCATACTGTTCTATCAGGAATAATTAATAAATATCCTACGTGCCTGGGGTAAAAATTACCAAATTTTTCGCACAATTT